TCACTCTTGCCTGTCTTTCTTCCTATTCCAGCTCTAGAGTGGGCATTAGCACGGCCTCTTTGAGGCCTTTCTCTCACCTTGGACAAGGCACCTCTCCAAGCCTGTTTCCCCTCTGCAAATAAAGATTAGAGTATCTGCCTCACAAGGATATTGTGAGGATCAAATTATCAAAAGATAAGTCTTTCAGTACACCTGTCATGCAGGAGGCACTTGATAAATAAATGGAAGTACCTTTCTCCCTCATTCCTTCTATGGTACAGACCCAAACTCTGGTCTTCCTAAGGGCCAGGGCCCTCCAGTGCAGCTTATAACCCCAGTCCTGAACACACATACTCATTGTTGCTCACAGACTTCAGAGTGCCCTGGGGTTCCCTAGTCCGGAAGCCTTTCTGGAGGAGTCCAAGTTGACCCAAGGAGGCGCCTTGACGCTGAGGCCAGAACATGGTGTTTTTTTCTGCGTTTTCCCATCCCTTATTATGCACTGCTTTGAGTACCTCATGGGGATGGTCCAGAGGTCAGGACAAACTTCATCAATCCTGACTCACTTGTTTGGAATTCACATCACTCTATATTTAATAAAAGGTGTACACCAAAGAATGAAGTTCCAGGATGGCAAAGGGTATCAGTTACGGACCCCTCCCAACTTTATTCCTCACAAGATCCAATTTAAATTGTTAAATAAAGAGGTATTTATTGGTCACCTGAGTGAAAACTCTGGCTTTAGGCACAACTGGATTCAGCACTCAAACACCATCAAGACTCAGGTTCCCTTCTCTTTGGCTCAGCTTTCCATTGTTTTGGCTGAGCACCAGGGGGAATGCAGGCATCTCTTCCCCAGCAGCTCCAGTGAAAATATCCTTATGAACTCTGCTGGGTCGCATATGCGTATCTGAATCAATCACAGGGTTGGTGGGGGTGGAATGTAACTTGCTGATTGGCTTGGGCCTGAGCCCCTCATCCACCCCTAGAGTGTGTGGGTGGAAGGGGCAGTCAGCTTTACCAACGTCCAACAGTGGAAAAGAAAGCAGTTTCCAGAGGAAAACTGGGGTCTGGTACCAGGAGGATGATGGGCTGTGGGCCACAGGGGAACAGATGTCACCCAAAAGAAATCAATGGTCAAAGAACGAAGAAGACAAATGCTTGTCAAGCATTCTGAAGCCCCCGAAAAATATCATTGATGGGTTAGTTTTGAATCCTTACAGATCTCTGGTAGGCAAACTGTTACAAACCCATCTGGGATAGTCTGTACTTGCTTAAGAACGGTAAAAACGACATCTTTAACTCGCTCTGCCGTCCATACTTTCTGGATTTCAGCCTGGCATTATCTCCTTCCTGCCACATTAGGGGGCGATGTGAGCTCACCAACGCTGTCGGGGCTGGAAGGGCCTGTGAGCAACGTACACTGTCTTCACTGGGGTCTTCCCTTGGCCAAATGTGCCCTCAAAGAAGTTTGAGTGCAGTGGTCCCAGACATCCCTTTTTTCCCCCACCCCATCACATGATCAAAGCTCCTCTAGCCCTCAAGTAGCCAGTGGTTTCTTACTCTCTCACCTCTGCTCACCCCAAATCAATACTAAAACTTGTTCTTAGTAAAGGTTTTTGCATCAGTCCTTTACACATGTGTGTGAATAAGCATCAATTCAATAGTTTAACTTTTCTCAGAACCATTTGTATTTTAACTCTGAGCCTTTTCAGTGAAACAAAGGCCCTGACCTACCCACCCCATCACAACATTCAAAAGGTACCGCTGGGGACAAGAGAGCAAATGGGAGTCTCTGAAACCCTCCCCCACCCACACTGCTTTGCAAATGCATTTTTTCTCAAGTCTAACTTCAATTGCCTTTGCTGACATTTAATCATTACCCTCTACTATGTCAGGGAAGTTTCTTGCATCCTTTCATCCCTTTATTCACTCAACAAATTTTTCTTGAGTATCCACCATATCTTAGATCCTTGGGTACAGCAAAGTATACCTCCCTCAAGCAGCCTGCAATGAACTTTAACCCAGGTAAACATCATCGGAACCACCAGATTTGTAACACAAGCAAAGTCTAGCCCAGTGGTTGGTCTGCAGTAGGTATTCATTAAATGCTGCTTCCCCTTCTCAGGGCGGCACTATGTGGACACCGCAATGGAACACTGGAAATTTTCTAAAACCTCTTTCCAGGTGGACAAGGGTGCCAGCAGGAATGGGTGGAGATGGAGGTTTCTATCTTGTTTCAGAATGTCATGATTTGTTTTGGATGTTCCAAATGTCAGGTTAGAAATTCACGCAAAGGAGAGGGGCTCATCCTAACCAGATCAGGGCTAGAGGCAGCGCAGGACACTGTCTCCATGGTGCACAGCCCCAGACAGTTTGGAAACAAACAGAAACCCATCCAGAGGAGGGAGACTGACAAAAGCAAAATCAAAGGCCAAGAAATGGAAAACTTGGTAGGTGGGGCAGGGTGGAGAGGAAGGGAAGTGGGGAGAGATGGGTGGGGACTGTGGAGGGGCCTCAGAGAAGGGCATGGTCCCAGGCCTGTGAGGAGCTGAATCCAGCCCACTTCTCCCCAAGTCCCAAGAATCACCATGGTCACAGGACAGTGAGTATGGTCGATTCCAAGCCAACACAAACCTCCTGGGCTTAGCAGCAGGAATGGGCTCAGATGCATGGGGCCAATGTTCTAAAGACAAAGATCTGAAATGGGCTCTTTAAGTCACAAACTCCCCAGCCACTCTGGGTTTTGTAGGCAATCAGTGTTTAATGAAATGAATTAATCAGAAATGACAGTGAATCACATTCCTATTCACATCTCTCTCCCATATGCATGTACGCTGATCCAAAAGCCCACAGAGTAAAACCCCTTCTCTTTGTGGTGGAGACAGCTCATGGGGTTCTTGGCATTTCCCAGAAGCAGGTACTTAGCCTATGGGAGGTCCACCTGCCACCCCTCCCCAAACTGTCCCTCCGACAGTGGCATTAATGACAGAGAGCCCATGGGACTGCTTTCCCAAGATCAAGGCAGCTGGGGTTCCAGTGTGAGGTGGCTCCAACTGAAGCTCCATCTGGTCTTCTTTGCCGTCAGATGCCTGGTGAAGCTCTGGGCCCAGAGGGGCTTTGTCAGCAAGGGGACTGCTCCTTCCTTCTCCATTAGAAAGTGTCTGCAGGATGGCACCCCTGAGCACCAGGCCCCAAATCTGCCCTCTCCAGGAGCTGGTTGGCCTCTGGGGTCTGCCTTAGATGTCACGTGGTGTTAATAGAACTGAGTCTTTAGGTCTTGTCTCCTTCCTACCTCTTCCCTCCAGGGTACCCAGAAATCGCATACTATCCCCCATTACCCTCATCCACTATGCATAGTAAGCACAGGGCCTAAAATCCACATTACAAACATGTTTCAATTTCCTTTAAAAACAGAAGAAAAACCAAGCCTTTAAGTGGAAGAAAACATTTTAGTATGTAATAGCAATTTATTATTTTTATTGAGGAAGGGTCACACAAAGAGAAAAGTGCCCAGGACCCATGAAAGTCATACTGTGGCCACAGTCTTTCCTCCTGTCCATCCCAAACCCCTAGATTCCAGGGATTTCCTTCTCCTTTCTGAAGGCCCCTTTAACCCCCGACTAGCCTGGGAGCTCCTGAGGACAGGAACATTCTTCACCCACCCTCATGTCCCCACAAGTTCAGTGCCTGCCCCATAATCACATCAGGTATGGCATTGCCTCTTGGGGGGCAGAAACCTCAGAAACAAAGGGCTAGGTTTTCAATATTGCCTGAGAATCCCTGGAAACTACACATTTCACATCTGTGTGGTTGGACTTTGACCCCATCACGACGCTGGGCTCTGCTGAAACTGCTTTCATTAAGCCCAAGGAGGAGCTCCAACTCAATAAATCCCATAGATACTTCCCGCATGTAATCTTGACGGTTCAGCAGCATTGGGCGCTTCTCATCAAGTCTTTCTTGGTCTCTAGGACACTTTGATGCATTGCTTTCCTCCTGTTTCCCCGGACATTGCCGCTCTGTCTCCTGGGCATGCTCATCTCCTCTGCTAAGCCTGTTAAAAATAATAGTAACAGCTGACACCTACCAGCTATTTGCTCTGTGCTGGGCACTATTGTGCCAGTTCTTTGAATCCTCAAAATAATCTTAAATCCATTCTCCACCAGTGATTTTGTTTTTTGAAAAACCCAATCTATTCATACCACTTCCCTGCTTAAAACCTAATGGATTTCTCCGGCCCATAGCTTTTAAGGTCTTTCATGATCCAGCCCCTGCCCACTTCTCCAGATCCATTTCTTACCATAGCCTCTCCTTTTGTGACCCTGCTGCTTTTAGCAACTCCAGCAAGAACTTGAGATGTTTGAAGGAGCTGTTCCAAACTGCCTGAGCCATTCTCCTTCCACCTCCTAGCCTACCACTGACTGTTCTTTCAGATTTCAGTTTCACCTTCTCTGGGAGCCCAGTGGGGTTATGACAGTGACACTGAAACCAGTCTGCCCGGTTCAACTCCCAGCTCTGCCACTTCCAAGCCCCTCCCAGCCACATAATCTTGGGCAAGCTATTCAAATCTCTGGGACTTCAATTTCGTATCTGAGGATTTAAAAAATCTGTACAGGTAAGGTACCTTGCAGAGTTATGTGTGTCACCTCCGTATTTCCTGACCCCAGACCATTTTAAGACTCCTTGCCAAATAGTTTCCAAAACTCCTTTGTAACACCATGTAATTCCAACCTCGCTCCTGGGAATATCTGTCCATCCGCCCACCTTGCCAACTGTCAGCTCTGTAAAGGCTGGGGAGTTCTGACCTTGGTCCCGCTCCTATTCCTAGTGCCTGGCACACAGTAGGTGCTTATATTTCTTAAATCAATGATTATAAATCTAATACCTACTCGATATCCTGGTGATATATGCGATCAGCCACCTTGAACAAGGAAGGAACGAGCGGACACGATTTTTAGCAAAAAGGCATATATGGCCGACTCATGCTGAGGCTGAAACCAGTCACAAAGAAGACTTGGTAATTAGGAAAATACCTTTATTATATTTGAAATGTTCCAATATTCAATGTAAAAAGCACTTTAGTGACTTTTTCACAACTTCACAAATTATAGAAAAATGATTATATACCTTCTTTACAGAAATCTGCCCCCAACCACCTCCCACATCAGATAGGGCGCCATTATGGTTGAAACAGGGCAGGAAGGAGGGGCACAGAATACAGCACATTGAACCCCAGGTCTCTGGGGGGCCAGAGGCTTTTCCTGCACAGGTAAAGCCAAGGCTGAATCCCAAAGACCTGTGACCCTCTTGAGAGGCTCAGTCCAAGTGCATCTGTGGCATACTGAAGCAGGCCTCCGTCTCGAACACTGGAGCCCACAGAGGCCTGTGGCGTGGCACTTGTGGCTGACAGGCCACAATCAAGGCAGCTTCGTGAGAACGAGAACAGGAGGCAGGCCTGAGCTCAAAGCCTTTCTCTAAAACACGGCCAGGAAAGAGGCTGTAGACAGTGGCTAAACAGTGCTCTAGGTTTAGAAATTTCCCCTTTTACTTAGCTCACAAAGACGAGTTTGTCAAATAGCTATTTTCTTTTTTTTCAATCAGAAAACAAACATTTGGTTCCATTTCAGCTGTAATCAGCAGTTGGGAATTTTTAGAAAAAGATGCCTTGAGTTGCTCATTAAGTTCATTATTTATTTATCAGGTCTCTGGCTCCTTCCTTTCTCATCCACAGTTGAGCGGGCGTAGGGTGGTTTACAGCTGTAGCAAAAGGCTGTTTGTTGATTTGAGAAAACTGTGAAAATGTTTTGCACTCACACACAAGGGCTGATGGAATTCAAAAACGAGCCCATCAATTTTTATGAGAAACATGACCGTTCCTCTTGGGTGTCTCAAGTCAAAACAAGGCAACCGCCTAGTGATTTATAGTCCCCACTACACATTTTCCGCCTTCCAAAAGGCATTAGAGAAAGGGCCGACATCTGCCAGGAGCAATTGTAAACATCACTGACAGCTTAGACACTTTGTTTTTCAATGCAGCAGGGCTTTTTCCCTTGGCCCTGGCAGAAGAACCGACTCCCTAGGACTGTTCAGGAAGGAGCAGACAGAAGGGCTCCCCTGAAACCAGAGACTGATGGACCAGTGGTCCCCACTGACCAGAGCGTGGCTGGGAACATCATCAAAGGCAACCGATACATTTATGGCGTCTGTCCCGCAGTCCCCAGTTGGCCCCCAGGCTCAGTCTGGCTGGACATGGGGCACAGAAGGTACAGAACAAGTTATCAGAAGGCACATGTTGAGGCAGCCCCTACACCAGGCCCGGAGAGGTTATCTCTTCACACGATTCCAAAAGTGTTGGAAAGCTGAGGAGCTGATGACACTCACTCCGAGCAGCAGCAGCAGATACAGGGAAATCATGACCACAAACCAATGGCTGGAAAACCAGGAGAGCTGGCTTGAAGCCCTGCTTAAGGGGAAAAGAGGAGTGATGTTGGCAAAATGAGAAAAACATTGTTTTAAAGTATATGCAACAACTTCTGGCTCAAAGAAGATGAAATGATGAATCTCAGCCTGAAGGAGCCATGAAATGAAGCTTCGTGCGTGTTCCTTTGCTTGAAAAAATCTGGGGCTGTTTGCCCTGGCACTGACCTGCCTTCACCAGAACATTTTCTGAATGTACAAAGACAGCTATGCAATGAGCTCACCCTCATCTTCTCTTTTACGGCTCCTCTTGTACCTTTTATAACCCATCTTTTCTTAAGCAAGACTTTGGTATCTAGAAGAATGACCTCAACTCAGGATGTCTGCCCAAGACGGCAGGCGGCGGCAGGTTATGCAGCAAGTCTTTTCACTTTCAGGCCCGTACAGCTATCAGTGTGAGCTGGGGAAATCCTCTTTGGCTTGCTGGGAGATGATCTAAACAGTCCAAGTGTGTACTAAAGGGGCACTCTAGGGAGAAATGGGAATAAAATTTTCAAGTAGAAAAAGCCAGGTGATTTTTAAGCCAAAGGATAATGTCCCCAGACTCAGGAAACTTGTACAAATTTTCCAAATTTGGGGGGGTGGGGTGGGGTTTGCTAGCTTATGTAATCCCGAAGCATGGAAACCACTACTGTGTTCAAGCATGAGTGGCAAGTACTAAAAGTGACCCCCTTTCCTGTTTTGCCTGCTCACCTGCTGCTCATCCCCATGAGCTCTACCATGCACCCCAACAATACAACGAGATCGCAAAGTGACCTCTGACCCTGGTGAAGCCTGCACATACCCCCCACTACCACACTGCTGAAATGGGATAAAGCATCCACCATGGTTCTCAGGAGATGGAAAGCCTCATCTGCTGCTGGGTTCAGCACCCTCATTTTAGAGAGAAAGATGAAGCATGTCAGGTCCAGAGAGGAACATGTTCAACAGCCACTGTAGGAAGTATCTGAGCTGGGCCGCACATATTCCCAGCCAGCCTCCGGCCACCACCCTGCCTCTCATCTTAACCTCATCACTGGGTTTCAGATGGTGGTCAGGAGCCTAGCGGATGTTGTGTTTACAAATCTCTATCTTCTTCACTAGAAGAAGGGCTGGGACTGCACTCCTCGCCCTCACCGTGTCCAGTATAGTGCTTTACAGACTTTACACATAGCTGAGGTTGGCATCTGGGGGCAGAGGGTGCTGACGGCAAAGAACCCAATACTTTGAATGCAGCCTTTAGCACTCCTGGGCCTCAGGCAAGGACCATCCTTCTTACCCCTTGGGCTGCTTCTGTGAGTACACCAGCAGGTACTTCACACGCAGGAGCTGGTTATTGGTGACCACAAAATACTTTGGAGGGATGTCTCCCCCTTCACTGTGTTTGATTCTCGCTCTCCTACGATCTATCTCCTTGGAATCTGAATAAAGAGAATAAAGCACAACTTTACTGGGAGCTGGGGTGGGGGGAAAGGTGGGTAACAATAATAAAAGGAGCAAATTACGAAAAGAAACAGGTCAAGCCTCTTGGTCCTGAGGGTGGAGAAGCCCAGCAGGCTGAAGAATGGCCTGTGTGTGTACGTATGTATGTGTATATATGTGAAATAGCACTAAAAAATAGGATAATCCGACAGACAAACAGGGGGGAGGAAAAAAGGAGTAGGAAAATAAAAGGAACACAAGAGGAGAAAACTGAGTGTAAGAAGCAGAGAAAGAAGCAGACGGATGGCCATAACACAATTATCATCTGGGACTAGGAACAGGACTTCATCTGAAACAAGTCTCTTAGCAGGCCTTTTAGATTAACCATTCTGGATTCGAGTTTCTTAGAACAGTTATCTTCCACCCTTTGTATCCAAAAAAACAAACCAGGCCAAAGCTGCATGACAGCAGATGGTGCAAAGTCTTGTTTTGATGTTCAATGTCATGGTTTGAAAACTTCCTAAAAATGGTAAATGCAAATATTCATGCTGTCTGGTTTGAGAGGGTGGCGTCAGAGCTGGGCTGGTTCCTCAGGATGCCAGTTGTTTTACATTAAAGGTCAGGAACATAGTGTTTTCTCAATTCTCCTTTTTTTCAAGTGGAAACAACAGGCCAGTTCTGGAGACTAGAATGACAGGCTGTGACTGTTCTGTCTTTGTGAGCAAAACGGCAGGAATCACAGGGCAAAGAATTTAAGGGACATATCAGAGGAGTGAACTGAGGCAGCCGGCAAGTCGTCTGCCCCCTGGAGGGCCTGGGATTTACTCCCCAAGGCCTCAACATATCAGAGGAGTGAACTGAGGCAGCCGGCAAGTCGTCTGCCCCCTGGAGGGCCTGGGATTTACTCCCCAAGGCCTCAGGTGCCCCTCACATGCTCCAGGGGCTCCAGCACACACCAGAGTGAGCCTGGAGGGTGTAGACCCACGGCTTTCGCTTCAGTTTCACAAATATTCACTGAATGTCAAGTATGCCCAAGAGTGAGTGAGACCCAGCTTCTGCCTTCAAGGAGCTCGTGCTCTGGCCTCACACACACTGTCACCTATCAAGTCTTGCGTCTCCCAGGAGCTTGCCCCGAGCATGACTGCTCCTTCCTCTCGCTCCCTCCCCCTCTTGTAGGAAGTGATAGCTTTCCATTCTGTGTTCAGTCCCTGAGGAGACCGCTCACTCTTTGAAGGCAGGCCCCTGTCCCACATTGCTTTGGACCCAGCTCATCCCTTGGCGTGCAATGGGTGCTCCACCCAACAGCTGGGCCAGTGGCAAGGGCCAGCACACCAAGAGGCCTACAGCCCAGGTCTGGGCCAAGGGCTCACTCACCCTTCTTCTTTGTTTGGCACTTGACGTCTGGATGGTCAATGACCTCGCACACGGCCACGCAGCTGAGGACGGGGCCAAGAAGGCTGTGCTGCCACCCGTGACCATGGGGGCTATAAATGAGGGCCAGGCTCAAGTCGCTGGTGAGGTAGGTCCCTTCCCCAAACAAGGATGTCTGGGATGGCAGAGGTCAACAGAAAAGAACAGGGCTGGGTGAATGGGGAGTTGGCATGGCAAGATGACACAAGTCTTTCTTCAACAGAGCAGTAAACACAAAATTTTCAAGCCTCTTTTTTTCCTAGTAAAAGGAAAAGATCAAATAATCCTATGACATCATCATTCTTATCGAATGGCAATTTAACTGATTGTGGGTGTGGCCAACTAGTCTAGCAAATGAGTAGCTCCTGTGGCCAAGGCTGAGTAAGAAAAACATAGGCATGAGAGTTCAAATAGACCTGAGTTTGAATCCTGACTATACCGCCCACAAGCTGGCAAGTTACATATAAACTCTTGGGTCTCAGTTTCCACATCTACACAATGGTGATAATAGTACCTCCTTTATAACGTCATGGATGAGGAGTCAGTAGGATCATGTACACAGAGCACCAAGCAGGGCATGTGGCGCATGAGAGGAGTGGGCAGTCCACCACTGGCACTGACTTGGCAGTAATATTAGTGATTCCTGCTACGTGAATGCATTAAGCATGGTTACACTGCTGGCTTGCTGAAGCAAAGTCACACCCTTAGGCACAGGGATAGGGATCACACCTGGGGGAAAGCAATCTGAGTAATTACTTGGAAAAGACATAAATCTCTCAGACCAGAAACTGTAACCAAATAAGGCAGACCTTGGCGAAAGGCAGGGCAAGTTTTACTCTTCGGGTTGGTGTTGACCTAGAAGACATCCAAATTTCTAGGAGGCATGTCCCTGGTGGTAGGTGCTAACTTGGTGTCTTCCAGGAGGAAGAATGCCAGGTGAGAGGGAAGGCTCTCAGGTGAACACCTGAAGTTGAGGCTACAACAGGCACATGCTTTGCCCATGGTAGACCACGGCAAAGGATCAATAATCTACCGTGATGGCCAACATAAAAACGTCAATCCATAGCATGTATAATGTGTGGGGGGGGGGGCACGGGGAGGGCTGTACAACACAGAGAAGACAAGTAGTGATTCTATAACATCTTACTACGCTGATGGACAGTGACTGTAATGGGGATTGTGGGTGGGACTTGGTGAAGGGGGGATCCTAGTAAACATAATGTTCTGCATGTAATTGTAGACTAATGATAAAAAAAAAACGTTAATCCAATCATGGCACTCATTTACCCTGATTCAGAATCCTTCTCAACACAACATTCCAGGTAGCTGCTACCAATGGATGGAATTTGCCATTCAAGTTGAAATTCATTGCTCTCCTTGGGCCGTGGTATCAGTATCTGTTGAGTGGACTCAAACAGCTCACCGAACACCCTGTGCTTGGGAACTGAGAAATGTCCTATTCAGCGGCACCAGCCTTCCACGAATCTAAGCTAGGTATGTGAAATTTAGGGGAAATGACACTAGCCTTTGCTTGACCAGCCCCTCGCCAGGTTAGGTAGGGTCCCCATGTCTCAAAAGCTGACACAGACCTTCTCCAAGGACACTGGATGTCCTCTGATCTGACCCCACATCTACTCCCACTTATACCTGCACCTATATGCCCTTCTAGACTCGAGAACGATGAGCAGAGGTGCACAAGGGTGGGAAATCTGGAGTATCTCTACCATGAAAACAATCTCACACCTTCAACTGGCGGGTAGGCTCCTGAAAGCAAGTCCTCACTGAAATCCCAGACAAACAGGGCCAGAAGAGCAACCCCTTTACCAAAGGACTGGTGGGAGCAAACTCCATGGGGGACTAAAGTGAGGGTTTGGAGTACAAGACTCTCATCAGCAGGCACCAGTAGTGTGGAGAGGAGGCCGCCTGGATTCCAGTAGCCTGGCCGTAATAAACAGTTGAGAGCCAGTGTAAACAAGGCCGTCGTCCTCAGCAAAATCCAGCTGCGCTAATCAATGGCAGCGATGCTGGCAAAGGCTCTCTAGCCTCAGGGCTGCCCGGGCCACAACTGAGTCTATGGCTCCCAGAGCCAGCTCCTCAGACAAGGCAGGTGCTGGCACACGGGCAAGCCGGGCTCCCTTTCCCTTGGCGTATAAAATCAGCCACTGCCGCCTTGGTGCATAGTACGGCAAGAACTCCGCATATATGAACTGTTTCAATCCTCAGCACACCAGAGGTGGGTAATGGTGTCCCATTTTACGTATAGGAACACTGAGGCTCAGAGAGGCTAAGTACATTTGTCCAGGACCTTGGAGCTGCTGAGGTAGGCTTTTTGGCTCCTGTCTGTACTCATCCTCTGCTGAGGGGCAAAATACGTGCCAGCAGAGAAGGGGTGCTTGGCACTGTTTTCACTCCTGAAAAAGGGAGGGAATGAGCTTAAGGTAGGGAAAATACCTCTCCCTGGCACATCCCTCAATTTCTCCAAGTGTTCCCCAGGCAAGTGCTTCTCAAACCTCAACGTGCTTGTGAATCTCCTGGAGGCCCTGTTAGCGTGATGCTGATCAGGTGCTCTGGGGGCCTGAGACTCCAGTGCCCAACAAACTCCCAGGTGATGCTCAGGCTATGCTGAGCAGCAAGGGCTGGCCACACACTGGGATTACCTGCTCAGCTCTGAAAGCATACAGATATCTGGGCCCCTTGGTCTGGGATGCAGCCAGGCACAGGCATTTTTAAAAGCTCCCCAAGGGATACTAAACGTGTGGCCAAGGTTGGGAATCATCTTTAAATAGATGCTTCTCGAACTGTAACCAGTATCGGAAATCACCCGGAGATCCCATTGTGCTGCAGGTTCTGACTCAGCAAGTCTAGGGTAGGCCCAGGGCTCTGCATTGTCACAGGCTCCCAGGGGCTGCTGCAGGGGCGGGCCTGCAGCCCACACGGTGAGCAGCAAGGCCCAGGGAACCCAGCCCAACCCCGCCCGGCCCACCACCAGCGACCTCCCCAGGGTTCTGAGCCCCCCACGCCGCAGGCTTAGGCCCCACCTTGTTCAGGTGGCAGTGCAGGCCATTGTGGATGATGGAATGGAAGTTTTCTAGGCGGCTCCCATGGAAGGCGTAGATTAGGTCTCGCTCTCCTTTGGTCTCATAAAATTTGGCATTCGCCGGGCTGGAGTACTCGATTTCAAACAGGAAGTCCGGCACGGGGACAGCCACGGGAGGGGCACCAGTCAGCTTTTGGATCTTTTCAAACTTGAAAACATGTAGGAAGTCACAATTTTATTTGGGAAGCTGGTAAAATGTGCTACCAAAATGGCCCCCTACAGCCTTGGACTTTGCTCCTATGGGCTCTGCTCATGAGCAACTGGTTTCATGAGAATAGAGACAATAATAATAATAATAATAATAATAATAATAAAGATAATAAATAAGCGCAGAGTTCATAACTCAAGACTACTTTCCCCTAACAATGTCTTTCCTTACCATCTGCTGAGAAGCATGAATTGCTCCTGCTAACTAAAGGTCACCTCTCAGTTGCATAGCACCTTCACATCCATCACTTGCATTCTATCTCTAGAATGATCTTAGGAGGCAGAAAGGTGTGATCTCTTGCCAAAATGGTCACAAATTTTAATCCCATACCTGTCCACTCACCCCTCTGCAAATGACTTTGCAGGTGTAATTGCACCACGATCCCACCAAGAAGTGCAATCTATTTCTCCACCCTGTGAACCTGGGCCTGGCCATGCGACTTGCCTTGGCCAGTGGGACCTTGGTAAAAATGCTGCAGAGACTTGAAACGGGCTTGTCCTTCATTGTCTGCTGCTGGGAGCCCTCCCTTCACTGCCATGTGAACAGGCCCAGCTGGCCTTCATCAGGATGAGAGCCTCATGGAGGAAAGCCCCAGCCACAGCAGCCAACCCTGCAGGCCCAGACGTGCAAGTGAGTCCAGTCCCAGGAGAGCCAGCCCCACCCAGAAGAGCCACTCAACTGACCCACAGCCTCCTGAGAACCAACCAGTGGTGTTTGAAGCCACTACGTTTTGGGGACGGTTTGTTAAGCGGAAAAAGAGAACGGATACAGAAGGGTAAACTCCTTCCTAAAGAGCAATAACCCTCTTCACAGCAAAGCCCACATCATTTCAGTGATTTCCAAACAGTAAGTCACAGACCAAAGCCAGTCTGGTGTGAAGTTTTCTCTGGGCTGCAATTAAATGAGAAAAATGAGGACAATGTAGTGGATATATTTATATTGCTATAAGGTTGCCATGACCCTTTCTTTGGAAGAACTGTCCGTCATTCCAAGGTCAGGCCCATCCTCCGTTTTTGTGTTAAAACATCCTTTTATACAGTGATGACTGGTAGGCTAACATCTTTACCTGAGCACAATAAAGAGCTGACAATCCTCTCTCCATATTTTAATGGAATTTAACTGGTCCACAATCAAAAGTCAAGAAGCCATTCGTTGCTTTATCTGCTTTACTTACTGCACCCAGCAAGCAGGCACTGGATGGCCATATGAGGAATTAATAAATCCCAAGTTAACAGATGACAAAAGTGAGACCAGAGATCATCTGGGAATTAGCAGCCCAGCCTGGACCTGAATATGGATCACCTGACTCCCCCACTCCAGGGCTCTTTATTTTACCATCCAACACAAATGGATGTCCCCAGACACCAGAATCCAAGATACCAAATTCTATACCACTTTAAGGAGGATTTTTGTCTTCAGCAGGAGCTTGTAAAATTGAATGCTCTTAAATTGAAATTGATTAAGTAAAGAACAGAACAGATAGACCTCCGCTGCCACTCAGAGGAAAGAACGGCAGGTTAGGGATGTCCCATCCCGCACCCTGCTACCTGTCATCCAGCCCTTCCCTGGGAGAGCCTGGCCAGGCAAGGGAGACCAAATTATACAATGTCCGGCCTCTGCCAGGAACTGCACTGGGGATGGCACACATTCTCTCAGAGCCCCCCTCTGAGGTCACTAGCAATGATCTCAGTTTATAAATGGGATAAAGGAGACTCAATAATGGATGGAAGTGGGAACCCAGAGCCTAAGGTTTTCTGCTTCAGGCTTTGCCTGTTTCCTGACTAGACCAATATTTCTTAAGGTCTTATCACAGGACCACCCTTACAGAATTACCTGGGGTGCCTGTGACAGCCAACATTTGCCAAGCCCTTAGCATGGGCCCTTAGGCATTGTTCTACGTGTGAAAATTCATTCCATTCTCACAGTTAAATCCAGTTCCCTGATGGAACTACACTAACATTATCCCTATTTTATAGATGCAGAAACTGCAGCACTGAAATGTACCCAGCACCTGCTCAAAGGCACACAGCTACCAAGCAGGAGAACGCAGCACTGCACTGCCAGGGTGCAAGTTCCTTGGCCCCAGTCCAGACGCGGAATCAGAAGCTCTGGGGGCAAGGTCCAGAAATGGGCATTTCAACAAGTTGCCCAGTCACTCTGGCGCACACGGAGGTCCCAGAGCCCTTCAAACCTGGGGATCTGTAATCCTACAGACCAAAGACTCACCTCTGACTTCCCTGCGCTGTGGATGGTTAGGACCTTTGAGGATAAAATCCAGCTCACCAGGTCCCAGGCCTGTTTGTCTTTGTCTTCAGAAGACTGCAGAAGTTCTTTCAGGTTAGGTAACTTGCTGGCATCTGCAAGCTGAGGGTGAGGAAAAACCTCCATTACCAAGGATCCTGGGCAAAATGATAAACAGGGGCCCTCTAGTGGGAAGGCAGGCGACTTGCATTTTTTTCATGTTTCTCGAGGTGCTTCCTAGGAGGGAACCACACAGGTCTACAGGCCCCTTGCAAACAATCACAGACTCCCAAAGCTCCGATCACTGCTTTGTAACTCATTTGGTACAAACCTGATCTGAGCTGATGTACGGTTCGTTTAATCTTCACAGTTCCCACTTCATGTCAGTACTGATGTGATGCATTTTGCTGCAGGGATATTAATGTCTGATTATGGGGCGCCCCCTTCCTGGACATGTCAGCAAATACACGATATATGCATGTGTGCGTAAAGGGTTAACAAAGCCTTTTCCTTTCAGCCAGAACTAATCTCCTTTTAGCCTGTTCTCGTGGAGACCAGATAAAGGTGGTATGGCAACTATATACACAACCAGGCTACACTACCTATGGTGAAAATGACCCAGAAGAGTAAACTGCATCCCAACTGGAAGAAACAGTGAGTGGGGGATACCATGGTGTTGGGTTTCCCTGAGCGTGTGACTTTCTGTGAGGACCCTGGCAGCTCTGTCTGTGACATACTGACAAGAAAGACCAGCCCCCGTGGAATGTGGGAATTCGTTAAGCCAGAGCAGTTCACAGCCACCAAGGCGAATCTCATCTCCTTACACCTGAGCTGTCACTCTTGGTGGGGGTCTGGGGAGGGCAGCAAAGACTAGCCCCTAGACCTCTGTGTGGACTGATGGAAGGGCTTCCACCAAAACAGAATGGCTGGTGCTGCCCTGCGAGGGGCTGTGATCCACCCTAGAGCCTTCCAGTGCGGCCTGCCACAGGCCCACAGTCAGACACGACAGCTGTGTTATTGCAGCAATCATCTTTGTATGATTGGGTAGAATCTGAATTCCTGAACATATTTGGTAGCATAGCACCTTCACATCCATCACTTGCATTCTATCTCTAGAATGATCTTAGGAGGCAGAAAGGTGTGATCTCTTGCCAAAATGGTCACAAATTTTAATCCCATACCTGTCCACTCACCCCTCTGCAAATGACTTTGCAGGTGTAATTGCACCACGATCCCACCAAGAAGTGCAATCTATTTCTCCACCCTGTGAACCTGGGCCTGGCCATGCGACTTGCCTTGGCCAGTGGGACCTTGGTAAAAATGCTGCAGAGACTTGAAACGGGCTTGTCCTTCATTGTCTGCTGCTGGGAGCCCTCCCTTCACTGCCATGTGAACAGGCCCAGCTGGCCTTCATCAGGATGAGAGCCTCATGGAGGAAAGCCCCAGCCACAGCAGCCAACCCTGCAGGCCCAGACGTGCAAGTGAGTCCAGTCCCAGGAGAGCCAGCCCCACCCAGAAGAGCCACTCAACTGACCCACAGCCTCCTGAGAACCAACCAGTGGTGTTTGAAGCCACTACGTTTTGGGGACGGTTTGTTAAGCGGAAAAAGAGAACGGATACAGAAGGGTAAACTCCTTCCTAAAGAGCAATAACCCTCTTCACAGCAAAGCCCACATCATTTCAGTGATTTCCAAACAGTAAGTCACAGACCAAAGCCAGTCTGGTGTGAAGTTTTCTCTGGGCTGCAATTAAATGAGAAAAATGAGGACAATGTAGTGGATATATTTATATTGCTATAAGGTTGCCATGACCCTTTCTTTGGAAGAACTGTCCGTCATTCCAAGGTCAGGCCCATCCTCCGTTTTTGTGTTAAAACATCCTTTTATACAGTGATGACTGGTAGGCTAACATCTTTACCTGAGCACAATAAAGAGCTGACAATCCTCTCTCCATATTTTAATGGAATTTAACTGGTCCACAATCAAAAGTCAAGAAGCCATTCGTTGCTTTATCTGCTTTACTTACTGCACCCAGCAAGCAGGCACTGGATGGCCATATGAGGAATTAATAAATCCCAAGTTAACAGATGACAAAAGTGAGACCAGAGATCATCTGGGAATTAGCAGCCCAGCCTGGACCTGAATATGGATCACCTGACTCCCCCACTCCAGGGCTCTTTATTTTACCATCCAACACAAATGGATGTCCCCAGACACCAGAATCCAAGATACCAAATTCTATACCACTTTAAGGAGGATTTTTGTCTTCAGCAGGAGCTTGTAAAATTGAATGCTCTTAAATTGAAATTGATTAAGTAAAGAACAGAACAGATAGACCTCCGCTGCCACTCAGAGGAAAGAACGGCAGGTTAGGGATGTCCCATCCCGCACCCTGCTACCTGTCATCCAGCCCTTCCCTGGGAGAGCCTGGCCAGGCAAGGGAGACCAAATTATACAATGTCCGGCCTCTGCCAGGAACTGCACTGGGGATGGCACACATTCTCTCAGAGCCCCCCTCTGAGGTCACTAGCAATGATCTCAGTTTATAAATGGGATAAAGGAGACTCAATAATGGATGGAAGTGGGAACCCAGAGCCTAAGGTTTTCTGCTTCAGGCTTTGCCTGTTTCCTGACTAGACCAATATTTCTTAAGGTCTTATCACAGGACCACCCTTACAGAATTACCTGGGGTGCCTGTGACAGCCAACATTTGCCAAGCCCTTAGCATGGGCCCTTAGGCATTGTTCTACGTGTGAAAATTCATTCCATTCTCACAGTTAAATCCAGTTCCCTGATGGAACTACACTAACATTATCCCTATTTTATAGATGCAGAAACTGCAGCACTGAAATGTACCCAGCACCTGCTCAAAGGCACACAGCTACCAAGCAGGAGAACGCAGCACTGCACTGCCAGGGTGCAAGTTCCTTGGCCCCAGTCCAGACGCGGAATCAGAAGCTCTGGGGGCAAGGTCCAGAAATGGGCATTTCAACAAGTTGCCCAGTCACTCTGGCGCACACGGAGGTCCCAGAGCCCTTCAAACCTGGGGATCTGTAATCCTACAGACCAAAGACTCACCTCTGACTTCCCTGCGCTGTGGATGGTTAGGACCTTTGAGGATAAAATCCAGCTCACCAGGTCCCAGGCCTGTTTGTCTTTGTCTTCAGAAGACTGCAGAAGTTCTTTCAGGTTAGGTAACTTGCTGGCATCTGCAAGCTGAGGGTGAGGAAAAACCTCCATTACCAAGGATCCTGGGCAAAATGATAAACAGGGGCCCTCTAGTGGGAAGGCAGGCGACTTGCATTTTTTTCATGTTTCTCGAGGTGCTTCCTAGGAGGGAACCACACAGGTCTACAGGCCCCTTGCAAACAATCACAGACTCCCAAAGCTCCGATCACTGCTTTGTAACTCATTTGGTACAAACCTGATCTGAGCTGATGTACGGTTCGTTTAATCTTCACAGTTCCCACTTCATGTCAGTACTGATGTGATGCATTTTGCTGCAGGGATATTAATGTCTGATTATGGGGCGCCCCCTTCCTGGACATGTCAGCAAATACACGATATATGCATGTGTGCGTAAAGGGTTAACAAAGCCTTTTCCTTTCAGCCAGAACTAATCTCCTTTTAGCCTGTTCTCGTGGAGACCAGATAAAGGTGGTATGGCAACTATATACACAACCAGGCTACACTACCTATGGTGAAAATGACCCAGAAGAGTAAACTGCATCCCAACTGGAAGAAACAGTGAGTGGGGGATACCATGGTGTTGGGTTTCCCTGAGCGTGTGACTTTCTGTGAGGACCCTGGCAGCTCTGTCTGTGACATACTGACAAGAAAGACCAGCCCCCGTGGAATGTGGGAATTCGTTAAGCCAGAGCAGTTCACAGCCACCAAGGCGAATCTCATCTCCTTACACCTGAGCTGTCACTCTTGGTGGGGGTCTGGGGAGGGCAGCAAAGACTAGCCCCTAGACCTCTGTGTGGACTGATGGAAGGGCTTCCACCAAAACAGAATGGCTGGTGCTGCCCTGCGAGGGGCTGTGATCCACCCTAGAGCCTTCCAGTGCGGCCTGCCACAGGCCCACAGTCAGACACGACAGCTGTGTTATTGCAGCAATCATCTTTGTATGATTGGGTAGAATCTGAATTCCTGAACATATTTGGTGCCAGGACTTCTGGTAAGGTACTGGGAACCTGGACTGACAAAGAACTACCAGGTATCTGTAGCTTTTGCTCAGAAATAATAACTGACTATAAACCAAATCTCTCCAGCATGGCATTTAAAACACCACGGCAGACTGGTGCCCTCTGTGAACATGCCTTGAAGGGTTGCACCACCTCCAAGCTTTGCGCATTCAGTCCCCTGGAGTAACCCTTTCCTGCCTCTACCAACCCAGGCACCCCTCTCCTCTAAATCCCTAAAACACTCACCCCCAAAACTCTGTCCCCAGTACAGCCAGGATTCCCAGAGGCCAACGACTGTCCTTGTTTTGTTGGGAAAAATGGGAGGGCCAGGAAAGGCTTCACAGAAGAGGTGCTGCGTGACCTGAGTTTGAAATGTAAAGTCACAGAAGCAGGGAAGTGCAGCGTGTCGTCAGGGAAGTAGAGGGTGGTGTGGTCAGTCGTGCAGGCTCTCCTCCCAGGCAGCCTGGGTCTTTACAGCCACTCCTAGCTGTGTGACTTGGGTGTTTTGTCTGACCTCCTGTGCCTCAGTTTCCTCAAATACATAGTTGGGGCAATACTAGTAGCCACTTCATGAGGTCCCTGTGAAGGCAAATCAAGTTAAACAAGTACAGCACTGACAGCAACAGGAAGGTATTACGTCCCTCTGATACTAGTGGTGGAGGGCGCTGCCCTGTTGTTGTCTGTACCTGCAGGTGGTTCAGTGAGGCGGGAGCCTACAGTGTGGGGGACGGGTCGCCAGGAGAACAGGAGTGAGAAAGTCACCTGGGATCAGCCTGTAAAAGGCCTTGTACCCCGCTGGGGACTCTGAGCTTGTTCTATAGGCAATGCAGAGCCACTGAGGGTACCTGAGATGTGCCCCACAAGGTGCACATCCAAAGGACACCCCATCATCCCAGAGCCAGAGTGGAGTCTTCTCTCCAACAGTCACTGTCCCCATCACGCCTGTTCTTACTCCCATCTGTGAGCCGCAGCCCTTGCCAACACTCCAGCTCTAGGTGCAGGGAGCCCCAAAAGAGAGTCAGCTAAGCCAGGCCCCTCTCAGGGGCTCGGTGTGGGGCAGTGGGGGCCCCTCCCAGCTCTGGGCTGGACCCTGACCTCAGCTGAGCGCCTCTGGGGGGCCAGCCTTTTTCCAGGGCCCAGGCCCGCCACTGCGGCCTGCCCAGCAGGGACCCTGTGTGTCCCATCAGGCTGCCCTCTTGGTCACACTCTCTTCTCCTTTTGTTCTTTTTTCCTGGCCTTTTTTCTTTTGTTTTTTTTTTTTGGAGTTTTTCCCTTTTTTTTGTTCCCTACTCTTTAACCCCTCAACTGACCTCCCTTATGTTCTATTTCACTTTTTAAGCTACTCTGAAAAATCTGTTCCAACAAATGAAAGGATTCTTTCTCTTGCGATTAAAACCTGTGTGGGGAAACTTTAGGGGACCAAGCACACAGGTAGAGTTGCCAGATAAAATATAGCCTGAGGTTACATTTGAATTTCAGATAAACAAAATTAATGTTTTTCATATAACCTGTGCAAAATTTGGGGGCATACTTATACTTTAAAAACTCTTTGTTGCTTTATCTTAAGTTCAAATTTAATTAGGTGGTTTATATTTCTATTTGCTAAATCTAGCAGCCCTCCCTTTAACAAGGCCCTTTGAAATCGGGTTTGGCCTCTCTAACCGCACTTCTAGCCACAAAATTCCCACCTGCTCTGCTCCCCCCATGCTATTCCTCAACTACTATTTCCTTGTCTGTGCTTCGGCAGCTGCCTAGCACATTCTACTGAGTCTTCAAGGCCAGCCTGAAGTCACCTCCCCTGTCCCTGACCACCCATGACCCCTGTGCCTCCCTGTGCTCCATGCAGAATGCCATATTGGTACTTGACCCTCCAGGACCATCTCAGATCTGGCTGGGACAATGATTCCCGAGGGCCAACCACATCTTACACTTCCTGAGCCCCAGCAGCCAGACTAGAACCTGGCATGAAGTTCAGAACAAGATAGTAACAGCTACTATTTACTGAGGCCTTACCACACACACCAGGCCCTGCATTAAGTGCTATGCATGCATCTTCTCATTTTATCCTCCCAACAGCCTATGCTATTTATTTTTTTTAACTAAAATATAGTTGATATACTATATTGGTTTCAGGTGTCCAACATGCAGTTCAATTATTATATACATTATGAACTGGTCACTATGATAAATATAATTACCATCTGTCAACATACAAAGATACCACAACATTGTCAGTTATAGTCCCTATACACAGCCTGTTTCAAAGCAGAGGAAACCGAGGCTGGAGAGGTTAAGCACCTGCCAAGGACTGTGCAGCTATTCCCTGGCAGCACAGGGGCACAAAGCCAGGCGCCTGACTCGAGAGTCCACTCGCAGTAATCCTCTCCTACCAAATCAATGGAGAACTTATAATGGAATAAATATTTTGGCTCAAAGGAGCAATTCTGGCAGAACTTTAAAAGGCTGCTTGGGAAGCTAATCAGGCACGTTTCTGGAAGCTCCCACTCCCCCAAATAATATATCCAAGACAGCTACTGGCTGAGCCTAAGTCCTGTCAAAGGTAGGGAGAAAAATATATATAATGTGTAGTATAGAGCAGGGTCAGGAGACAGAAAACCCTCCATTTAGATAAAACTTAGAAACCATAGTTCATGACAGTTGAAGGTATTTACCAAAAACTAGATTGAAGAGCGTAAGTGTCCAGAAGGAAAGGAGGTATCACTGGGGGTTGGAGAAGGCAGAAGGGTTTGGTGGTGGGGGCGAGTGGGACCTGCAGTGCTGGGGAGGACTGTGAGAGGCAGATAGCGATTACGTGGGAAGGAGCAACGCAGAGGCAGAGAAGTGGACAGCGCTCGTCCCAAACAGTGGTCCCAGGCTCAAATGCCCCAGGGCCAGAGGTGATGAAGATGAATGAACACAGGGAGTTAGGAAGGAGTGGTGAGGACTGTGCTCAGCTGGAGACCCGTGGCCTGCAAAGGGCCGGCCACCAACCCCCCAGCTCCAGCTGGTGTCTTTCCGAGGATGATGTCTACCCAGGCCTCATATTTTTTTCTGGTTTAAAAAAAAAATCAGCAAGCTGTGTTTTTTTGGTGTTTTTGGTTTTTTTTATAATTTCCCTATTTCTGAAAGGCTAGAGGACAAACAAAACCTGTCATCCCCCAGACCACACCTGTGCAGCCTCTCTGCTCTGGGGAATGAGGGAGGATTCGGTTGCAGAAGAGGCTGGGGGAGCACAGGAGCAGGGCCTGAGGCTGGGACCTGCGGGCCAGGGGCAGGGGTTTGGGTGACCAAGAGGACAAGGACAGGGGACTGGTAGGGGACAGCAAGGAGAGGACCAATGGCCCTGGAAGGAGACAACTCGATGCTCAGGAGGTGACAGGGCAGCCCAGTGGATACTTCCGCCACCACCCAGAGCACAGTCTCCTGGGGAGAAGGCAATTGCGTTTACATAAGTTGCCACAGGTGATTCTTATGACCAGGAAAAGGTGATACTCAGGTTTCACCATGAAGCATTGTCCTAGATGGGCTGACAGCAGGGAAGAAAGAACATCAGAAAAAATCCTACTCCAGGGAGATGCCAGAGGTCATAATTACTAGATGTGCGTGAAGCTGCTGGAAGGAAATGCCCCAAAGGTAGTCAAGGTCACCAGCCTCAGGGACCAAGCAAAGTGACACCCAGAACAGTGGTGTGGTGTGGGTGGGCCAGGTGGCGCTGGTGGGCTCCGAGATGAAGGCAGAAATGGTGGACACAGTTATATATACAGGTTCACCTTGCTGGGAACAAACCTAAGGTATGAAAATCTAGATTCACTAACACAGATTGGGGGTGAACTGAGAGAACTCTTCACAAAAGGAGTCATCATGGGGACCCTGTGAAAGAGTGGTTTTCTGCCCTGGCTACCTGCGGGCATCACCTGGGAGCTGGAGGGTGGTCTGTACCAGAACTATGCCGGTTAGCTAGCTGCAGGTGACAGATTATAGAAGCTACAACCCTGAGTTCTTAGGCAGACTATATGATTCCCACATAGA